TCCAGGCAGGGCGACGGCTCATCGCTCTGCCAGAAGGCTACAGCTAGCAGGCAGGTGGGCGAAGGGTCCTAGGAGCCAGGCTGTGAAGTTGGTCAGGCGCTGCCTGGGAGAGACTGCAGGGACAAATGTAATTTCTTGCACCCAGCTTTGAATCATCCATGCCAGGACTTTGGGAAGCTGTGAAAGTGTAGTTGTCCAGACATTTCTGGTGTGCGCAGAGGCTGTTCCCACTATATGTCCACTTTCCACCTAGGTGACTTTCCTGGGTGCTGGTGGCAAAGGAGTCATGAGAAAATGAAGCTGGAGATGGAGAGGAGGGTAGACCATCCCCTTTGGTGACAGCACACCCACCTCAATTTCTATATCCACGTGTGTGTCTGTGTGTAAGGCAGGTGCTTAGTCTGCTGTCACATACAATGGTGAGGTAGTCGTCGTAGTTATGGAAGAGTAGAGAGCGATTTTGCTAAGCAAATACAGGTGCCTACTGTGAGATGAGCCAGACAGCCTTCTAGAGTTCCCTGACAAGCCCTCCTTGTCTGCCACAGGAGCACAGACACGTACTCTGTGTGTAGGAACTAAGGCGTTGTTCACAAAAGGCACGTCGGTCTGAATCATCAGTTACATCCCACCCTGGTGCCTCTCTGCCCTCAGGGTCTGGTCCAGGCAGCCTTTTCGGAGCATGTCTTGCACACGCAGAGGTCACAGGGATAATCGCCCCACATCCCAGAGGTCACAGCCATATCCACTTACAAGCACGAGTGCTGCCATCCCAATTTACTAGGAGTCCTACATCTAGAGCATGCACTGCAGAAACCAGAATTAGGCACCTCACGGTGATGTTTGACCCCATCACACATCATTAGAGACAAAACATCCTTGAAGGCATTCAAGAGGCACAAGAAGAAGAGCAGGCCAGTGGAAATTTGGAATTTTTTTTGTCTAAAGCACTGCATAAGGCATCTCCGGGATTTTGTTTCTATGGGGTGTGTGTGGTGGGTTGGCCTTGGCCATCAGAGAGACCCCCAACCAGCAGCTCACTCACTACCCCTCCCCAACAGGACAAGGGGAGAAAATCAGATGAAAAAGCTCATGGGTGAAGATAAAAACAGAAAGCACTTAACAGTTACTGTCACAGGCAAAACAACCTAGACTTTGGGAAGATTAATTAACTTTATTAACGATTAAACCTGATTTGGATATCTGCCCAAGGTCTCCAGGGTGGCAGTTGCAAGCCCACACAGTCCCAGATCATCCCTGGGGCATGCAGGGGACAAGGCATTTTGTGGCTGTGCTGCTGTAGCATCACTCCCGTGTGTCCTGGGTATTGCAGCTACATCTTCATGGCTGCCCAGGTACCCCTGGGAAAGAAGCTGTGGGACTTACTCCTGTGTTTTCATCCTCTCCCTTGGTGCTAAAGAAATTGGACACTGGGCACCTGGTTGTGAGTCCACCAGCCTTCAATGGCCTGGCGTGGTGCTACTAGGTACCTTCTCCTTCATCTAACCGATTTTGGTTACAGGTCCCTCATTTTGCCCCACTGTCAGTATCCTCGGATCAGATGGCCTCATGGCAATTGTGAACAGCAAACTACCTGGGGGTGTTGGAAAGCATGTGGAGTGAGATTTCTTCTGTTAGATGTTCAATCAAACATCTACAACCATTACAGGCTGCTCTCAGGGAGGGATGGGCAACTTCTGAGTGCTATACACCAAACCTCTTTCAGCTGGCAGGTTCAGGAGGAGACGATTCGTGCCCTAAAAGTGCCTATTTCTCTGCACTGACTGTGAAGGGAGCAAAGGGTGTCTTGCTCCATCGTAAGTGACTACCAGGGACTTCTGCAGGAGCAGGCTCAAGCTCAGTGTTAGAGCTTTTGTGATCTCCAGCTGCTGTAGCCAGTTTGGGCCAGAGAATTACTGCTGGCTCAGTGAGAGAGCGGTGGCTCTAGTCCTGTATCCCTGCTCCCCTTCCTCACCTCTGCCTCCGAGACAGGGAAAGGCAGCTCTTCACGATGAAGGGGTTGTGCGGTTGTACATGACACAGGGCTGATGCCACACCACGCTTGACAAATAAATGGAATTTAATTGATAGGTCTGCATTAATTTCTAAAGTATGTTAGTGAAAATGTCATTAATGTTAATCAAAAAATAAAAGAAAAAAACAAGGACTTGCACAAATAGCATCGATGGTGCAAATGTTTGGTTCAAGGGGCCCTGTTTTGCAGCTAAGCCTTGGGGTCCCCTCTCCATGCATCTGCACCTTGGATGGTGTGTGCTCTTATCTGTTGTAACTTGGGCATTTCCCTCGCCTAATTTTAGGCATCTAAACTTAAAGGAATCTGGGCTGGTGCCCCTTGCCCTTACAAGTAAAGGGGAGATCAGGAGCTTTGGCAATTCACCCAAGCTGTCCCTGTTGCCTGTTGCCAACGCAAGGTGAGAAGCTTGGTTCATACCTTTCCACTAACTGGAGAGCTCCTGCAGAGCAATGGGCTCAGATGTAAACGCTGGGTGGACGAATCCCACTTCCTACTGTCAGCACGTAGGACCCCAGACCCCAGTGAGACTGTAGCTCCTTGCTGCTGAAAACTGCACTGAGAATGGGGACAGGTGACTGTGTTTTCCCCTCGTTTCAAGACTTCATCACACCGGGGTGGCCCAAACTCCCGGTTAGGCAGCGATGAGCGTCGACCGACCCATGGAAGCACACAGGCTTTGCTGCAGGTCGCAGTGTGAATTCAGGCCCTGACCCCAGTGTGATGAACCACACACACACCCCAGTGCGTGTGTGGTTACCTCCTGCCAGCCTCCCCCTGGAGAGCCTAGGGACCTGCTGGGGAGGTCTTGCAGCAGGTATCCCAGGCTTTCAAACTAGATGCAAGGAACCAGCTCATGAGACTGCCCTGCTTTTTTGATGGAGAGCCTTTCCCTCCCTATGTTCAGTGTTATGACTAATTACTTCACATCAAGCCTGCTGCTCTGCATCACTGATGATTAGCTGGCAGGGAGGCTCCCAGGCTTCCTTCTCAGGATCCAGCCTTCAGCCCCAGCTTCAGCCCTAAATTTAACCAAGATGACCCTCTTAGTTCATTAGATGCATCATGATTTTTACTACCAGGTTTAGATGAATCGCTGGAGACTCTCACCTATTTTTCTGATGATAAAAGCTGCATCACAGACGTTGCTTCCCATCTGAGTCTTGCATCAGCCTGATTTCAATTCTCTTCAAGCACGGTCTCTGAAGCTCTCTGCCCACCACAAATCTTCACGCAGTGGCTTTTATGAAGCCCCTGTTAGACCTCAGACCGTGTGTGCATGAAAACTTGGTCAGGCTCTGCCACTCTTGCTACATGGACTGAGGAAGCTGGAAGTGAGGGGAGAAAGGAAATTTCTGTTGGTTAAGGGAGATGCAGATGGGATGCTGTTTTCTATTTACATTTGGAAACACAAAGCCTAATAGCGCCTTGTTTATGTCTAAGAAGGCTTTACACTTTCTTTGTGAGTCATCTTCTATATCTGTTTACCATACTAATTAGACATATAATTGAAGAATTCATGATAAAAACCCAAAAGCTTTGTCATGTGCAAATTGGTGGATTCTTGATTTGTACAAAATGCAAATTTATATACTCCAAGTCAGTAGCAGTTTTTCCTTTTGGAAAAGTTCAAGCCAATATTAAATCTCCACTAAAAGTGTTATCTCTGTTATAAACGTGGTTTTGAGCACAGGAAGAAATCTGATGCTTAGTTTGTTTCATTCAATGCTATTCTGTACCTGATTTGGGGATTTGAGATCTGCTTTTAACAGAAACCTTGAGGTGAGGGAATTTCAAAGCTCTAGGGAATTTATTTCCCAGGCTTTTGTCATTTCTAGGAGAAGGCAAAATATGTAGCTGTATTGGGTCTGGCTGAGATGGGGTTAATTTTCCCCACAGCAGCCTTCCTAGTGCTGTATTGGTAGCTAGAAAGGTGTTGATAGCACAGCAGTGTTTTGGCTACCGCTGAGCAGTGCTGGCACAGCATCCAGGCTGTCTCTCCAACGTTCCCCCCTCACCGGTAGGCTGGGGGTGGGCAGGACCTTTGGAGGCGAAACAGCCAGGACAGCTGACCCAAACTGAACAAAGGAATATTCCATACCTTATGACGTCTACTCAGCGATAAAATCTAAGAGAAAGGAGATGGAAGGGGTGGCATTTGTTATTTGCTACGTCTTCCAGGGTAACTGCTACCCGCACTGAAGTCCTGCTTCCTGGGAAGCGGCTGGACATCACCTGCTGATGGGAAGTAGAGAATAAATCTTCTGTTTTCCCCTGCTTTTGTGCACGCCCTTAGCTTTTTCTTTATTAAACTGCCTTTATCTTGACTCACAAGGGTTTTTTTTCATCTTATCTTCTCCCCACC